GCACTCTCGCGTTATCGCCTCGCTGCGGCCAGGGAGAAAGCTTCAGGTCCCGCGTTAGCCTTTCGACGTGTCGAAAGCAGTCCATCAAGTCCGTTTCTTGGCCCAGAGTCTCGTATATTTCGGCCTTTCGCCGAACGTAGGCCGCTCTCTTTGCGTGGGCGTTTGCGATCCTGTCCCAGGGAAAGGTGGCCACAACGTCGATGGCGCCTTCGCGTATTATCCTGGCGAGGCAATCGTCTTGTCCGGTAACGCCGTCCTCGTACTGACGAACGTACTTTCCGTCCGGAGAGTCCATGCCCCAGTCACGCAGAGACTCTCTGTAGCGCTTTTCGTTTTCCACCAACTCTCTAATCTTGGCGACTTTCTCGGTCACGGTGGCCAGCGTGTCCTTTGGCGAGATCATTTCCGTGTTTAGCCACTTGGCGTAATTCCGACCGGTACGTTCGATCGCCTTACGTACCTCTTCCGATCCGTGCACTTTGAGATTTTCGACTCGGGTCAGGTCGGGAAACTCTTTGCGGACCGCGTCGACCATCTGCGCGTAGGCGGCGTGGCACGCCAGCCACGCCTCTAGCTCTGGTCTCAGGTCCGTCTCGTCGGCGAAATCGAGAAAGAGACGCTCCCTAAAAGTTTCCAGAACTGTGTCCTCTAGCCGTAGAAATCGGCGGTCCACGCACTTTTCCGCGTATTTGGCCTCGCGCAAAAACTCGAAAAACTCGACCGTCACTCTTTCGCGCAAGAGCCTCCACATGGCGTCGTAAGATTTTGCGACGAGTTTGCGAGCGACGTCGGCGTCCTCGTTCGCCACGGTCCAGCGGATAAATTCGATTTTCCAGTCGTCGTCGTCTTCCGCATCGACCATCTTCAGCAGACTCGACACCTTGAATCTAGACAGTTTGGAAGAGACGGCGCTTTGCGAAACGCGCAAGGTGCCGACGAGATTGCGCAGGTAGACCCTCACTCGAGCTTCCAGACTAAACTGCTTGGTCTTCCAGTACGCCGTTCGCGCCGCGTGCAACAGCTCGGTGATTTGCGCGACCCCGAGGTCTCGATGCAGCTCCCAATAGTTTTCGCCATTTGCCGATCTCGTCGAAAAGAGATTGTTTACGCTTTCGCGCGACGCCTCGGTGGACGGAAAAAAGGAAGCGCGGTGCTTGCCCCACGTCGCGACGTGTTTCACGTACTCCTTGTTCGCCTCTATCAGTGTAGCGACCGCCGACCGAGCTCGCCTCACAATCTCCGAGTGCCGCTCGAAATTCTCGTGCGCCTTTCGAATGCGATCAAACTCCACCGTCGCTACAATGTCGTACGGGGCTTTGATTTTGTCCAACAAATCCTTGTCGAAACCCTCGTACTCGCCAAAGGCGACTGGGTCCTTTTCGTGCGTCTGCGGGTATCTATCGATGGGTCCGCTCATTCCCCACTCGCGGATCTTATCTCTACGTTCGCGCTCCGTAGTCATTAGGGATTTGAGTTCGGAAACATTTTTGCGCAGCGTCTGCAAGTTACACTTCGACTGGCTAATTATCTTTTCGATCCATAGTTCGGGCGCAGCGTTCATGGTGGCCAGGATCGCGTCGTTCCAAGTCTTTAGGTTTGGTACGCTCGAAGGCAGTTTCACGAGCGGAGGGGCACTAAGCAGGCCGCTGTCACCGAGAAACTTTCTCATGTTTTCGTAGTCTCTGTGGCGTTCCTGTACGAGCCGATAGAGTCTATCGAAATCGTCTTTGGGAAACTTTGACTTGAGACGCACTTTCCACTCGTACAAACCTTTGGAGGTGGCGCGAGCAAACAGAGACGCGGCGTCGGCCTCGTCAAACATACATTTGCCGTGCCTCGCGATTAAAGGATAGTAAGGTCCCAATTTTTCCATTTTTTCATCGACGTCGCCGCTATCGCCCACGCCAGCGAGGAGCAGTCGTCGTAACTCGTTCAGGTGCGGTTTCAATCGCTCAAATTTTTCGTAGAGCACCTTCCAGTCGACGTCGATCAAGGCCTTCCTAATGTCCTCCTCGTCGTTCTCCAGCCAGCGCTTTCTCAAGACGGCGTCCTTGCGAACGGCACCGAGGTCCCTAGCAAATTCTCTCAGGAGATCCTCTAGGCTCCGAAACTTGGCGTAATGTGCCAATAGTGACGTTATGAAGGCGCTACCGTCCTGCAAATACTCGTCAGATTTAATCTTGTTAAACAAGTCCCTCGTCTCTTCCTCTTCGCAGACTTTGTGCGCGGCCGGATGGGTCACCGCCCAGACGAGCGCGTCCCTATGTTTGTGCTCCGTGTAGTTCTTCAAAATCTTTTCGAACGCGTCTAGTATGGCCTGCAACTCGGTCGGCGACAGCGTAGGTGCGGAGAGAAAGACGAACCGCTTGACGTTGTCAATCTTTGCGATTTCGCCAACGGCTTTCAAGAGTTCCGGAGAAAACTTTTCGTCGATAAAGGTCTGGGCATATTCAACCTTGGCTTTCAACTCGGCGTAAATGCGAAGAGTCTGACCTTCCTCGGCGGCGACCCAGCGAACGAGCGCCGCGTCCCACTGCGGCGTGCCCGCGGCATCGAAAACGGCCCGGAGCAGTGGATCGAACGCTGGATGCTGGCTAGACCACGAAGAGTGCCGCGTGACTTTCTTGCACCACTCTTCGAAGAGTCGCTTAAACTTTAGAACGGAATCCTGCCAGATCTGGGACTGGTATCGCTCGAGCACAGAGTTGTACTTTTTAAACGTATTGGTTTTAACGTCGTAGTACATTCCGCCGCTAATGCCGTACAAGTACTTGTCCACGGCATCTAGGTCGTACACGTCCAAGTCGTACAAATTACTAAGCATGTCGTCGCCAGCAAATTCCACGCCCAACGCCTCGGGGTACTGCTTTATCACGTCCCTGGTCCTGACTGTGTACATGAATTCGCCCAGGACGTTGTTTGGGTCCTTATACATTCTGTAGATCAAGTGTTTGAGGGCCGGGATGACTACGTTGCGCAGAAACCCGGGCTTGTATTTCTCGCTGGCCAGCGAATTGACCTTGGACTGAATGCTCTTGAGATAGAGTGTGTAGGAAAAGACCAAGTCTATGGCTCGCTTCGGATCGTACAACGCCGTTCGAGTGTCGTTAGCGTGGTTCGCCACAATGTAATCAAACACGCGATTGGCCGTGTCGCCGTAGTCTTTGTAACGGGTAGTTTCGACACCAGCGTTAGAGTACAGCGCGTAGTAAAAATCTTTAAAGTAGTCGTCGACTCTACTTTCCAACCTTGCCTCAAACCCTATGGGAATGGCTTTCAAAGGTTTGAACAAGAGATTGTCGGTGGTCATTTTTTTATTTCAGCTACAGAAACACGTTTTCGCCTTTAGCGCGTTTATTTCTATAATAGGTCATTGCCGCGTAAGTCACGACTCCCGCTGTGGCAAGGACGGCAACTCCACCGACGACGTACAGCCAACCGCTTCCTTCGTCTTCCGCTGCAACAGTATGATACGGCGTCTTGGCGACGTCCGACACTTTTTCGTTGCGCGTCGTTTCTTTAGGAAGAGCCGAATCTCGAAGAGACTGTATCGCGTCGTCCGACCGTCGTCTCTTGGCCGCCTCCGCCGCAGTCTGAGGGGACGTTTGGGCGACGCCCGACTCCTTCTCTTTGGGCGTCGTTTCCCTAGGAGGAGCCGAATCCCGATGAGACGGTATCGCGTCGTCCGACCGCCGTCTATTGGCCGCCTCCGCCGCAGTCTGAGCTGATGTTTGGGCGACGCTCGACTCCTTCTCCATGGGCGTCCTTTCCTTAGGAGGAGGGGGAGGAGGAGGAGGAGTCGACGGCGACTCGTTCGTGCTATCCCGAAGAGACGGTCTAGCGTCGTCCGAAAGTCGTCTCTTGGTACCGACACCCCTCAGCTTCGAGTTGTAGCTGGAAATTAAAGACTCGACGCCGACATAGTCCAGACCGTTGTCGTAAAAGGTCTCGACCAGGCTGTCTACGTCGTGAAGGTCGGCGTCGTACAGCTTTTTTTCCTCGGTCTTCATGACCACCTCGACGCCGGCATCTTTCAGTCTGTCTCGCGTGTACACCGTGGCCAGGAACTTGCCGAGTAGATTGTTCTGATCTCTGTACATTCTGACGATGACGTGTTTTAAGGCTGGCACGGCCACCTTCTCGTGTTCGGCCTTGAGCTCGGCGGACCTCTTAAAGTGAAGAAGAAACGCGGTGTATTCGTTAATCACGTCGTTCATTCGGGTCACGTCGTTAAATAGACCAAGTATAACGTTGCGATACTTGGCCACGATGTAATCGTACGCGGCTTTCATTATCTCTCTGTCGGTCCTGTACCCCGTGTGCGCCCCGGCTCTATCGTACAAGTCTTTAATGTGCACTCGCAAATAGTCGTCCATCGACTTTTCGAGCCGTTCTTCAAACTGAGAAGGAGGCTTCTTGAGTATAACGTTATTCTTATTAGACATTGTTAGGTGTTTTGTATTAGTCCTGGACGTCAGCCGTAATCTTTGATGTTGTATTCGGAAAGAGCTCGGGTCACGTCATCTACAAAAAGCGTCTTGCGGTGTTGCATCTGGGCGTAGACGACGGCCTTTCCGACGACCTCGGTGACGAATCTATCGACCTCGAATTGCATGTTACCGTACACGTTCTCTGATATGCGATCGATCTCCATCTCCTTGGCCAATCGACGCAATTCGTTCTTACAGAGAACGTCGTCCACGGCAGTCGTTGGCTGTCGACTGTCCAATTGCTGCTTCTTCTTATTCTTGGCTACCGTCCTCTTTTGCCGGGTCACGTTGTTTGAGGCGTTTTTTATGCGCGCCATATTCTCACCATCCATCTCCTCTAACGATATAAGCGGGAAACTTCAGTTTTTTATTTGAAATCGACGTTACAATCATGTTACGCGTATACTACGACAACCTGGCAAACACCATCGCGACCGGACTTCGAAATCCCGGCGACTCCAGCGTCTTTGTCGACTTTCTCTACGCCTTGGAGACTATGCACGCGGCGACGATCCTTCTCGTCGGCCGCCCCTTCATGACGGTAGGCGCAGCGCTGCATCGATTCCATAGCCGCACGAAAAACAGATACAGACTCAACGTGTACGTCAACATGAGACTGGTTCGGACGGAAGTCTGGTACCTCAAGACGGCCTGTCGATACATCGACTTTCGCCTCTACCGCGACGACGCAAGCGCCCTCGGTTCGGTGATCTGCGACTACACGTTCGAAAGCGGTCGAGTGTACGCGAACGCGACCGCCTTTCGCTACGAAGAGGCCAGCAAGATTCTGTGTCTGACTCTGACCGACTCTCTCACCTTCTTTGTGGCCTGCGTTCGCAAGTTGAGTTACCTGCTTGACATGCCTCCCGATCGAGTCGTTTGCAGCGTCGTCGAGCCACGCACCGTGAAAAACGCCAGAGTGCATCGAGATTTTATGAGCCTGTACGAGAGCGTAGATCCGAGGTACTTTAGAGTTTGCGATTACCTTGACTGGTTGTGTAGGTATCCTTTGTTTGGGCAATAAAAATTAAAAAAAACCGTGCACGTTGAGTTTTCGTCTCAATCTCCTCGCGTAAGCATGAGTAACGACGTAGATATGACCAAGGTCGAAGAAGAAGAAGAAGAAGAAGAATGGATAGTGTTAGACGAATGGAACGATGGCGATGATGAAAAAGAGGAGGGAGAGATTACGGACGACGAGGTCAACCACTCCGCTCAGACTATTTATAGTTCCGAAGACGAGACGAACGATCGGTATAATCGTTTCAAAAACGAACGTTGGCGGGTATGGAAGAGGCGCCCCGCTACCGGCTCGTACTACCGGGCGACCGGATACCTTACCCCGTACAAGTGGACGTCTTTGAAACAATGTTGCGCGGATTCGGAGAAAAAGCCAACGTCATGATAGAAGCTCCTACCGGATCGGGCAAGACAATGGCCATGCTCGGAGCCGTTCGCGAATGGATAACGACACGACCCAGCGGCAAAATCTACCTCTGCTCTAGAACGCACCAACAGCTCGACCAAATGGTAGCGGTGGCCAAGGCGTTCATCGGAGACGCCGCGCACATTTCTCGTCTCGTCGGCAAGGACCGAGTCTGCCTCTTGGAACGGGAAGTCCACAGCGGTAACGTGCCCCAACTCTGCAGTCAACACAGGGCCTCGTTGACGTGCCGATTCTACCGCAATTGGAAAGAGCAGCATGGACCAGAGACGCGTTTGCCCGACGTTAGGGACATCGAGGACTTGGTGGAGAGTTGTGCTGCAAACGATATCTGCCCCTACTACGTCAACGAACAGTACTACGTAGCCAGGTCGAAAATAGTGCTGGCTCCCTACAACTACTTGATCGATCCCTTCGTCCGTAGCACGCTCAACATCAATCTCAGCGGCGCGATTCTGATCCTCGACGAGGCGCACAACATTGAAACGTTTTGTAGAGACGCCATGTGCCTACAAGTGTCCAGATCGCAGCTTCAGACGTACGCACGACGATTTTCTCGCTACGTCGAGCTTCGCGAATTCTTCGAGGGGCTCCTGGCCATGATGAACGACGTTGGATATGCGATTGTTCGCGGCTATGATCTCCTGGCCAAGACGAGACGCTACCTCAAGACGGACAACGTGAGCCTGGGTCAAGTCGTGAGTCCCTTAACGTCTCGACATCCTTTGTCCGACCGGTTAAACACCACGTTGATTGACCGCATCGTCACTCAGTTTTACTACCCCGAGATATTTGGTGCCCAAGGCTTTGCAATGTTTGTCGTCCAGGGTCGCGAGTCGCCAGAACTCAGGATGACCTGCATGGACTCGAGTTACGCCATGAAGTCTGTGTCGTCGTGCACGCACTCTATCGTCCTGGCCTCGGGGACTCTGAGTCCGATGTCGTCGTACGAAAAGGAATTGGGCGTCTTCTTTACTCACAAGGTGTCCGCCAAGGAACACGTCGTGTCCAAGCGTCACGTCTTTGTCCGTAGGATCTCGCATTCGCTCAAGGGTGACAAAGAGTTTTACATGAATTACAGCGCATGCCAGAACGAAGAGCTACTCAAGGCCGTAGGTTCCGTCGTCTACGAGTCGACCAAGATCCTGAAGAAAAATGTCGGCGAAACAAAGGCTGGCGTCCTGTGCTTCTTCCCTTCTTACAAGCTACTTCAGACCTGTCCAGACGTGTGGCGCAAAGTGCCTCTATGGCCCAAGTTGGTCAAGGTGGTCGGCGGGCATCTGTTTCTGGAAGATTCTGAAAACTCGGACCTCTTGTTCGATAGGTACAAGACTGCGTTGATTGACGGAGAGCCCGGCACGGTGGCCCTGTTTCTAGTCGTGCACAGAGGGAAAATGAGCGAAGGCGTCGACTTCTCCGATTCGCTGGCTCGACTCGTCGTATCCGTGGGGTTACCCTATCCGTCGTATCACAGTCCGGACGTAAAGGTCAAGGTCGAGTTTAACCGCAGCAGGGGCGGAGACGGGGACGAATGGTATAAAACGCAGGCGATGCGAGCGGTTAACCAGTCCGTGGGACGCTGCGTACGTCACGTGAACGACTGGGGGGCCGTCCTATTGCTCGACAGTAGGTATTTTAGACCCGACGTTTGGAGCGATTTATCGCATTGGGTCCAGGTCTGCGAAGACGAGTCGTCCACCTTCAAAGACACGAAGAAATCTTTGCTCGAGATAAATTCGTTTTTGAACGGTCGTCTATGAAAATGCACATCCTCAGTTTGCACACGTATCTGCGCGAACACAGATACACGGCTAGCCGACAGGGCTACGCTTACTGGTATTGCACGATTCGCGACGCTACTATTGCTCCTACACCAGCTGCTTCGGTCAACAGTGATCCCGTTTCGACCGAACAGGCTCCAACACGAGTCGCTACTGTTCCATCGGACAAGCGGGGACCGTCCGACAAGCCTATACTCGAATCGTGCACGTGCGAGACTGCTCCTACACCAGCTGCTTCGGTCAACAGCGATCCCGTTTCGGCCGACCAGGCTCCAGTACGAGTCGCTACTCTTCCACTGGACAAGCGGGGACTGTCTGACAAGACTATACTCGAATGGTGCGTGATTGAATACGCCAATACTCTACCGTCGGTAGAAGAATTTCAAACGAGATACAACCTGTGGACTGGTGGAAGGGACAAGTTCGACGCAGGAGTGTTGAAAAACTTTATGACTGCGCCGATACCTCCCTCTTCGGACGAATATGACACCTACGTTAGAGAAGTGGAGATTGCCATGGAGAAGCTGGGCATATATTTTACTCCGACAATCGTCTCAAACCTCATGGAATTGTACGAAAGATTGCACGGACTGTCGGACGCAGACACGCGCGAGCTGGTGTTGCACTTTTGGAGAAAGCCCGAGGCCACCGAGTGGATTCTCGTCGAGATTCTTCTCTATTGCATAAAGGTGGGCGTCGGTGTCTACGACATCGTTGACGGTGACGGGCATCTCGACTGGATTCGAGGCGAGATCCGGAACGACATGCTGCGCAACATTCGAGACCAGTTGAGTGCGTCTTTCGACCCGGACAACGTGCAGCGAGACAAGTTGGAGAAGGACATTCTCGCGTACCGAAGAGACCTGCGAAGACTCTCTCGACAAGTGTGCGTCAACACGGACCACGAGTTTACGCACGAGTTTATTGCACCACTCTCTGGACATTGCGAAAACTACGTGCCGTGCAAGAAAGGCCGATGGTATCTATGGTCTTAATAAAATACGTACGAATGATTGTCGAAGGTGTTTCTTTGGAAGCTCTGTACTCGCGTTTGAGCGAAATTGATTGATTGATTGATTGATTGGGGTTTTTTGGCGCATCAGCAACTAAGGCTATATTGCGCCAAGCTTATACTATTGCAATTCGGGTTTAAGAAGAGGAAAGAGCTATTGTAGCGAAATGTATGATAAAACCATGAACATGAATGTGTATAAGTGTAAACAATATGACAATGAGTTTAGGATAGAAAGTAAAATCACAGTCGGTGTAGAAGGCCGATATCTGTGAGGAAATTAAAAACACAACTATATGGAATGAGCGGTTCGTCACCTAGTAGTAAGGCAAGGTGTAGTGGAATGTGTTCTTTATAAAGCAGTGAGTAGTGTTTATACCGGCATTGGTCATACATAGGGCATTCAATGAGTATGTGCATAATACTTAGAGGTAGGTTGCAGTGCACACATTCAGGGGCCTCCTCCCCGCTCAAGAGGTGTCCATGTGTAAGACGAGTATGACCGATTCGTAGCCTACACAGTACGACTTCGTAAAAGCGCTCCCGATGTCGGGCGCTCTCCCACTCGCCTAGAAGAGGTTTGATTGCATGTAGTTTGTTGCCGGTTTCGCCGTTCCACTGCAGCTGCCACTGTGCTTTGATGCAACGTTTCAGATAATTGTGGTAATCTTTGTAGGGTATTTGGTGTGTGTCAATTTCTCTATCATTAGCAGAACTGGCTGCACTATCAGCTGCTTCATTTCCAGGAATGCCAACATGGCTAGGAACCCAGCATAAGACTATGTCAAAATTTTTCGTTGCAGCCAGGATTATCTTGTACTTTAACTCAGAAACCAGTGGGTTTTTTACACGGTTCATTGATGCGACAGCCTTCAGAGAGCTTAAAGAGTCGGTGTAGATTACAGCGTGAGAAAGGCGTTTTTTGATTATGTAATCAACAGCTAACAACAAACCATAAAGCTCTGCTGTTAGTATAGAGGCTTTTGAATTTATTCTCTTCACCTGATTTACCGATGGTCCCACCATAGCACAGCCTACTACGGAGTCTTTTTTTGTCCCGTCTGTATAAAAACTGGCATACTTGTGATATTTGGTCTGAAGCTCAAAGAAGTTCTGCCTTATGACTTCCTGTGGAACATTCTTTTTGTTATACTTGGTCAGTGTAAGGTCGCAATGTATCTGGCAGTTGTTCCATGGAGCTATTTCCGGAGGGTACTGGACCAACTGAGGCTTTGCATCCATCCCAACGGATTGTGCTGCAGTATTATTCCTCATAGAAAAAGGGGGGACTGTGGAAGGTTTGTTTTCAAATGTGCGTTGGAACTTGATCGTCTCAATATTATCTCGAACGGGGTGCTCCGCGACCGAGCGAACCCTGACAGAGTACATAAAACCCAGGGAAAACCTCCTATACTCAAGGGACAATTCGTTTGCTTCCGCGTAAAGGCTAAGCACTGGGGAGGTATGAAATGCACCAATAGCCAGTCGCAGTCCTTGATGATGAATAGGATCTAACATCTTTAGAACTGATGCCCGAGCAGAGTTATAGACAATACAACCATAATCAAGCTGGGAGCGAATGACTGAGTGATAGATACGCAGCAGACACAGTCGGTCCGAGCCCCATGATGCATGTGACAAGACCTTAAGGATGTTTAGAGATTTAAGGCACTTGAGTTTTAATCTCTTAATGTGTGGAACGAAAGTCAACTTGGAATCGAACACAAGGCCCAAAAACTTGTGCTCATTTTTTACACCAATAGGAGAACCATACATGTTCAAAGACGGTTCCTGAAGAGCACCACGTCGACGAGAAAAGTTGACACAAGCTGTTTTTTCGGGAGAAAATTTAAACCCATTCGTATCGGCCCATCTGACCAAATTATTGACCGCAAGTTGAACGCGACGTTCACAAATTGAGAGATTACAGGATGAAACGGAGATCTGGAGATCATCAACATATAAGGAATATTGCACCGAAGGAGGAATTACACGGCCAATGGAATTAAGTTTGACGATAAAAAGAGTGACACTCAGTACACCCCCCTGAGGGACTCCATTCTCCTGTAAAAACTCCGTCGAGAGAGTTTTTCCCAGCCTCACGCGGAACGTACGGTGCTGCAGGTAACTCTGTATGGCACTCAACATTCGGCCACGGAAACCAAGATCGAATAAATATTGCAGAATGCCGTAACGCCAGGCTGTGTCGTATGCTTTTTCCAAATCAAAGAAGATGGAGAGACACTGTTGTCTGTTGACAAACGCCTCACGTACGAAGGTCTCAAAGCGGACGAGATGATCGACAGTGGACCGTGCTGACCGAAAGCCACACTGGAACTTATCAAGGCAGCTGTTTCGTTCTAGAAAAAACATGAGTCTCTTATTAATCATCCTTTCTAATGTCTTCGAAAAACAGCTAGTTAGAGCTATTGGTCTGTAGCTAGATGCACAAGAGGGATCTTTGCCGGGCTTAAGCACTGGTACAACCACAGCGGTCTTCCAGGAGGACGGAAAGTGGCCCTCGAGCCAAACTCTATTAAAAAGGTACAAAATTATCTCCATAGTGGATGTATGAAGATGTTCGAGCATTTGATAATGAATACCATCTGGTCCAGGGGCAGTTTGTTTGGAACCAAGAAGTGCCATTTGAAGTTCGTCTAATGTAAATAGAGTGTTGTAGGGCTCGTGCGTGCCACCTGATGTGATAACAGCTTTTTTTTCTGCATTGATCTTGTATCGCTGGAACGTTAAGGTGTAATGTTCCGAACTGGAGACATACTCGAAGTGTTCACCGAGGATGTTGGCCTGTTCCTCAAGGCTTGCAGAACAAACTCCATTCCGACTCAAGAGTGGGACAGTGAATGCCCGGTAAGAGCCGTCAATTTTATGTACGCGATCCCAGACTTCCTTTGCAGATACAGTGCTGTTAATTGAAGAAGCGTACCCTCTAAAACTTTTTTTCTTAGCATGCCTTCTAATCCACCTCGCCTGGGACCTTTTTCTCTTAAATTCAATAAGATTGTGTGTTGTAGGGTAGCGCCTAAATATACCCCACGCTCGATTTTGTTCTTTTTTGGCCAAACGGCAATCTTTGTTCCACCAGGGCTTTGGTCTCCTGGGCAGATGCGAGGACGTCATGGGGATGGAGAGAATGGCAGCTTGTAAAATGTGCTGAGTGATATGTTGAGTGGCTTTATTGATATCAAGATCGTCAAGTGATGTGCATGCAAAAAGAGATGATTCTTTAAAGGTAGGCCAGTTGGCATTTTCGAATTTCCAACGAGGACAGCGTGTTGGGACTGTCATGGGAAGATGGTTAAATTCTAAGATGATGAGAAAGTGGTCACTTCCATAAGGATTCGGTATGACCTTCCATGAAAGCAATGGGAATAATGATGGGTGACAAATAGATAGGTCAATGGAAGTGAAAGTGTGAGTTGCTGAGCTAAAATATGTAGATTCATTTGTGTTCAGCAGGCACAATCCCGCAGAAAGCAAAAAACGTTCAACAAGGGCCCCTCTAGAATCCCGTCTGTCACTACCCCACAGGGGATTGTGTGCATTAAAATCTCCTAATAGTAAAAAAGGTGAAGGAAGTTGATTAACAAGGTCTTCTAGCTCCTCCATATGTAACTGATAATTGGGAGGTACATACAATGAACAGACTGTAAATATTCGATCTAACAAAATACGTGTAGCCACCGCCTCAAGTGAAGTCTGCAGGGCTACCTCGTTAGAAGGAATTGAACGTTGGACAACCACCGCAACACCTCCAGCTGCGTGAGCTGCATGTGTACGGTCCCTACGAAACACCTGGAAGTGTTTTAAAACATTGGTGTGGGTGGTTTTTAGGTGCGTTTCCTGTAAGCAACATGCAATGGGCCGGTGATCCTCTAAAAGATCGCTCACATCATCGTAGTTAGACAGGAGGCCTCTACAGTTCCACTGAAGGAAGAAAGACATTTATCTTCAATAAAGGAAACGCCTCAATAAGTGTTTTACGCAAAAATTGTGAAATGTAGTTTATGCGTCTTTTGGTGCCACAATCCGTGGGATGGTTTTCTTTTTTGC